TTTTACGATAAAAACGTCAAAAAGAAAAGCAAAAACAAGAAGAAATGATGAATAAACTTAAAAATACTAAAACTCATTAATAATACATTGAATGACTGAACTTGATTTAGTGTTTTTATGTGATACCACAGGATCTATGGGTTCATATCTTAATGCTGCACAACAAAGTATTGAGAAAATAATAAATACAATTATACAATCAGAGAAATGTGATGTTAGATTTGCACTTGTTGAATATAAAGATCATCCACCACAAGACAATTCTTTTGCATTTAGACTCACAGACTTTACTGATTCTATGAAATGTATTAAAGAAGCCGTTAATAAGATGGATGCAAATGGAGGAGGAGATACACCAGAGTCTGTTTGTTGTGCAATGCACTGTGCAAGTAATTTAAAATATCGAGAAAAAGCAGCAAAGGTGATAGTTTGGATTGGTGATGCACCACCTCATGGGTTTATTAGGGAAGGAGATGGATTTCCTAAAGGATGTCCATGTGGATGTGATTTACTTAAAGAAGTACGAGAGTGTATGAACAAAGATATTGTCATATATTGTGTAGGTGCTGAGCCATTAACAAGTGAATATTTAAGAACGTTGATGCGAGCAGTAGCACAATTGACAGGAGGACAATATGCAGCATTAGCATCAGCTAATGTTCTTGGTGAATTAATTACTAATGGAGCTATTGAAGAGATTCAAATGAAAGGAGTTATTAATCACATCAAAGAAGTACTTGAAAAAGACCCATCATTTAAAGCATTACCTCCAAATGAAAAACAACAAAGAGCAAAAGAAGAAATAGAAAAACAAACTAAAAACACAGAAATAGAAGGCATAGAAATTGAAACAATATTTAAACATGAACTTGCACCAATTCCACAAATATTTTTAATTGCTGAAACGTTAAAAGATTTAAAAGATAAAATGTATGAAATGCCTGATATTCAAGTTGAATTTAAAGATGGATTGTTTACAACACAGAATAGATTTATGAGAAGAATGGTAAGATATGCAGCAGTACCTATGGGGTGTGCGGGGGTGTGTTTTGAAGCAGCACATCCGTGTTGTTGTGAAAAAGCAAGGGGAGTTGAAACAGAAGAATTAGTTAAAGAAAAAGAAAGAGGGGAAATAGAAGAAAGGATAACAACACAAGAAATAAGAAAAAAGAAAGAAAGAGTTACAAAAGAACAAAGTGAGCGTATGAAGCAACGAATAAACAATTGGTATAAATAAGTGAGGAATTAAAATAAGATAAAAGAAAAGTTTTGGTTAAATTTTGAAGAAATAAAAAAGAGAAGGAAAGAGAAGAAATAAAATGAAGAAACAGAAAATGAAAAGAAGAACTAAAAATAAACAAATAAATGAGTGAACTTAGTAAATATCCAACAGGTTCTCTCTCAATTAAATTCTTTTCACAAGTAACAGAAAAAAGAGTATTAGTTAAGAGAGTTAGATTAATAGCAAATAAAGATTTACAAATGTGCATTTCAAAAGATTTTGTTGCACTTCTTACAAGTGGAACATATGAATTAATTGAAGTATGGGAATGGCCAAGTATTACAGAAATTTCATGTACAGAAAATGCAGATGAATTTATTGTTAAAGTTAATGGAAAAAAACAAAAATTAATATCAACTGCAAGAAGTTATGTTATTTGTATACTTCAAGAATATAAATATAAAGTTAAACCAACGAATTATATGTCATTTTCAGCCGAAAAAATATATAATAATGGGAAAATTAAAGAAGTTAATATTCAAATACGACCATATGGAATAGTTGAAGTAGCAACAAGTCAAGGAAAAAAAGAAAAAGTAATAATGTTTTGTGATATTAAAGAAATATGTTTATGTACTGATTCACAAGGAGTTGCAATTATTAAAGAAGGAAATGAAAGAATTGTATATTCATTTAATGATAGAGGAATGGCAGCAAGTGAAATTGTTAAGAAATGTGATGGAGTTGGAATTAAAATGACAATTAACTCAGATTTAACAATGGAAGAAGTATTTAATGGGTCAAATATTAAAAAGGCAGAAGAAGAAGAAGGAGGGTCATTAGTAGAAATCAAAGCTAATCATGGAATTGGAAAAAGAGAAAAAATCATATGTTTTACAGAAATGTGGTTTGTTGAAAGAGAAGCAAGTAATTATACAGTAACATTTGCAAAACCACTTAATGAAATAATCCATATATTAAGAGGACAAGATGCAATGGAAATTATTATTACATTTAGTGATGGATTACAAAAACACTTTTTTACAACACAAAGAGAACAATTTATTGCATCATTATTTGATTGTGCAATTGCAGCTAAAGCTGATCCTATTATTTCAGATATTCCAAGATTTGGGTCATTAATAATTGAAAGAATGACAATAGCAGAAAGTGGACAAATAGAAACATCTATATTAAAGAATTTAGCTAATTTTGATGGAAGTAAAATAGTTGATTTAGAAGCAAAAGAATTATTTATGGTATTTGTATTTTTATTAAATAATAATACAAGTATTAATGGACCACAAATTGCAGATTCAGGAAGATCTAAATTAATTGGACAAGCACTAGAAAAAATGATAGTATATGGGAAAGCAGGAGAAGGATTTTTACAATGTGTTTATAGATTATTATCAACAAGAATGGGATATGAAACATTTGTACAAAATAAAAATATAATGGAAAAATTAGTTGAAATTATTGGAAAAGCATTAGAAAGTGTTAAACCAATTATATTATTTTGGGGATTAAGAATTTGTGGATTAATGTTATGTTCTACAGCAGAAGAAAATACAGAGAAAAAAGGGAAATTAGCAGTAATGAAATTAGGATTACATGAAAAAATATTTAATACACTTAAAGAAAATATTAAAAAAGGAAGTCCATTTGTAATTTATGGATGTGTTACAACACTTAAATATATTGTTTGTGAACCATATTCTAATACTACCGAATTTAATATGTTTAATCAAACAATGAGTTTAATTGGAAGTTTAGGAAGAGATTTATTTATGCTTTTTCAATCGCCATGTATTTCTATTCCACATATTGCAGGACAAATGTTACAAACACTTGTAGAAGAAACAGATATGGAAGAAAAAATTAAAGAATTACAAGACTATGCATTATTAGAAGGAATTACATTACAATATTTCTATACTGCATGTTTTTCTAAACCAAAAACTACAACACAATTACTTCAAAAACAT